TTAAATTTAATTTCTAACAAAAAAAAAAACAATTTATTAATATTTTATATATAAAATAGAAAAATAGGGTCTAGCCCAAGACCGGTCCAGATTACCCTGGGCCGGTCCGGATCAGTGCTAACCTAGGTCAAAACCTGACCCCAAGTCCAGCTCGAGACCGACCTAGGCCTGGGATTTGACCACCTCTAGAATCCACTAACTAAATTTTCAATCTTACTCTGTTTCATTACAAAGTGATGGCATGAAATTTGATTTATAACTTACAATGCATTAAAGATAGCATATTAAATTTATAATTCTATTTTAAGCATTTTAAATATATCATGGGTATTTTATGTACTTTATTCTAAATGGGGAATATCTAAGTTTTGCTGGAATAGAAATGAACCATAAATAAAATCGCAGACAACCTTTACCCTACAAAGTATAATGTGGGAGAAAAATGTGTTCTTAACTTTATTTCGATCTATTCATGGCCTTTATTCTTTGCACCTTTATCTAGTTGTTAATTCTCATAACTAGCTGTCCAACTTGGAAACTTTTCCAAACGGATCAAGGGAACCCAAGTGACAATTTAGTTTACATATTTTGAACAAAGAAAGGGAATATAATTATATAAATAACGTTTGATAAAAATATATGGGTGCTTGCTAAATGGTTGTTAGCTAATAGCTATTAGCTGATTGAGTTAGTGTGTTTGAGTGGTTGATAGCATCAGTTGATTGTAGAAAAGTGTTTGGTAAATTAGTTGTTAGTTGATTACATACAAAATTACTTTCTCAAAAAGATGATTAAAAAAACTACTTTGAACATCTTTTTGAATTTTAACATTTTAGAGCAATAAGTTGTTACAAAAAGCTAATTAATCAAACACTCATATTGATTGTTTAATCAAGTCAAACAATTAATAGTAATCCAATAAGGCAAAATTGGCTGATAGGCTAACTATTTTACCAAACAGACCATAAACTAAAATAAACTAAAGAAGAATTGTGAAAAAAATGATCAAACTGGCCCCCTAAGTCAATCGGATAGTGTAATTATGTCCCCTAAATAAAAGAAAAGCTCCATTCATATTTCGTAAACCTGTAAAATTGTTCAATTGAATCCAAATCAATCTGTTTAGCTGGTTAATTCTTCCAAACTTGACATAAGTCATTTTTTAAATACTTTTTATTTTTTAAAAAACTTTTATTTATTTATTAAATATAAATTTAAAAAAAAAAAAGTGTATAGTCATCGTTTGTCCAACGATGACAGCCAGTAGTTGCCTCCTTCACAGATAGTTGTGGTTGTCCTCGCAACAGCCATGGTTGTCAAAGAGGCCATGTCCATCAATCTTTGACAGTCGTGGCTATTGGGAGGACAACCATGGCAATCCGTGGAGGCAACCACCGGTTGTCCTCGCTAGACAGCTGGTAGCTGCACTTTTTTTTTTAATTTATATTTAATTAATAAATAAATAAATAATTTTTTTTTTTAAAAAAAAAAAGAAACAATATTTTAAAATGTCATGTATCACGTGGGGAAGAATTAACCTACTAAATGGGTTAATTTGGACTCATTTGAACAATTGTATAGGTTTAGAGGATATGAATGTATCTTTTTCTTTTTTTTTTTTTTTTACTGATGAGGGGTCCTAATTGCATTATCTGGTTGATTTTGGGTGCCAATTTGACCCTTTTTTCAAAAATTATAGGTGTATGCTTTGTTTAGCACACCTAACTGAAAGCTAAAATTTAAGCTAGTAGCTACTAAATTAACTGATTGAAATTAAAGTGCTTGGTAAAATTAACTCTTGAATCTACTATCTACTATACTAATAATAGCCAATAAAGTTAAGTCTATAATGAGAACTAAAAGATGTTCGTCCAATTATTGGATAAAATGAATAGTTCAGAATATTTTGATTTTAGTTTTTCTTTTTATTTTCTTATTTATCCTCTATTATATCATTTATTTTTCCTAAATACTCATACACTCCGTAATTAGTGTAAACTTTAGTAACAGAATATTCCGTTAACTATTTATTATTCTTAGCTTACTCATTGATTTTCATAAGGAAAGTCTTAGAATCGAACACATCCCAATCAAAGTTGGAATAATTTTTGAACATATACTATGAATATGTTAGAGCGTATTAAAAATACAATATAAAATTTAACATGAACTTTGGTCAATTAATTAGCCAAACTATATACATAGCATTCAAAGCTTAGCACCAAATTAAGATTACAAATAAGAAACCTTGAAATCATTTTCTTGCATTTTTTAAAAAACAAATTTATGTTAAGTTTTTTTTTCCTTTTTTTTTTAATTAATATTCTTTTGATTATTTAGAACAAGACTCAATATTTTAATTATCTTTTACATTATTGGAAATGATTTAGGTCATTATGGTATTAATAATTTTTGTTTGTATTTCTATAATAGTACAATTATAAATTACTTTACAAATATTGTACTACATATATTTTTTTTATCATGCAAAATTGTTGTTCGGGAGGGGGGGGGGGGGGTGTGAGATTTTTAGGGTAACAAAGCATATATACAAATAATATAATCATAAATAGTATATTTAAATGTGGGGAACTTGAAACAATATTGTTTGATCACGATATTGGAATGTATGATATTACTCTACACACTAACTCGTAGTATACTATTTCAAATGATATTGTCAAACTTGTGTAACCTAACTATAAAATCTTTTATCAGAAATAAACCTACACCTAGATTTTAAAAGGTAGGACCATTGTCCAAACAATTGATAATGATAACTCCCCACCAGCACCAATTGAACAAATTTACACATCATTCTCAGAATTTTATCAACGCATAAAAACATCTACAGCATGTTTGGTTCACAGAATGAATTTTGAGGTAATAGGAATGCTATTCCATAAGGAATGGAATAGGCAAGGAATAGAATAGGAATTGTAATCTATTGTTTGATTCGCGGAAGGAATAGACTTTAGGAAGTATATTACAATGTTTGGTTGGTTTAAGGAATAGAATAAAATATGCTTCAAAAGACATAAATACCCTTATAAAAAAATGTGTTGGTGTTGGTGTTGGCGGTAGTGGTGGCGGTGGTAGTGGTGGCGGCGATAGTGGTGGCGGTGCCGGTGGTTGTGGTTGTGGTGGCGGTGGAGGTGGTGGTGGCGATGGTAGCAATGGCGATGGTGGTGGTGGTGGTGGTAGCAGTGGCGATGGTGGTGGTGGTGGCGGTGGCGGTGGTAGGTTGGTGGTGGTGGTCACGACGGTGGTAGCAATGGTGGCGGTGGTAGGGTATTTTCGGTATTATAGTACTAAAGCTATTCCCAAATACTTGGGAATAGCTAATACCAAGGGGTCCCCTAGGAATGGTTATTCCCCCTGCAAAGGGAATAGCTCATTCCCGAGAACGCTATTCCCTTGAATAAAAAGACAAAACAAACAATGGAATAGATCTATTCCCAGGAATTGTATTCCATTCCCAACCTATTCCATGAACCAAACATGCCACTAAAGAAATTTGTAAGATAATTTTTACTATATCATATTATAACAATATCTATTATAACCATATATTTCAAATTATTTATCCTCCCCATCTATTGACAGCAATTGTAGCAATTGCTATTGACAAACTCCCAAACAATTTGTCTTGTCGTCCCTAAGTTATAATTCATAATAAAAATTGCACTTGGCGTCCCTAAGTTATAGGGTAATTGTAGGATTCGTCATTATTTGTGGGTTGTGCTCATTTTTGCTATAACTAATGTTGCAAATTTCATCCTTTCTAAAACAAAACATTAGCTACGGAATTTGCAACGTCAATTATAACTTAGGGGTGAGAAGTGAGCACGACCTATTAGAAAAAAGAACGAAATTTACTACGTCAGTTACGTTATAACTTACAAACTAAAAATGAGCACAATCAATAAGGACGAATTTTACAATTATTCTATAACTTATTTATGAAAAGTACAAGAAATTTTAAGGCTTTAATTTCGTGAATCGTAGTTGTTGGTATAGTTTGGAAATTACACATATTTTTTACATTATTAGAAAAAGTTAGTAACCATAGTTACAATAATTCTAACTTAGTGAAGAGCAATTATAACGAATTAAAATAGCTGAGGAACGTAAAATTTTTTTTTTTCCTATTAAATTAAAGCATCATTTATCTAGAGAAGGGAAAGGAAGAGAAAGACAAAATGGATTGTACGTTATTTGATAAGAGTTTTACTCTTTTGTTACTATACCCACTTTCAAATTTTACTCTCTTGTTTTTATTCTAATGATAAATAAAAATATAATATTTTTATTATGTGTATTTCAGAAAAAGTATTTATTTTAAGAATTTGTGAAAGAGAATAAAAATGAGGAATAAAGAGTAGTGAGAATCCATGTAGTGCCCCGCACGGGTTTAGCTCAATGGTTCAGTGGACAGTACTGAAGAAGAGATCAAGGTTTGAATCTTGACGGCAGTAGTATGAAAATTCCTTGTGCACATTGACATCGACATTTGACCCTGTCTGGAGGATCCTTAGAGTTGGGGATTCAACTTTTTAGGAGAAGAGAATCCCTATAGGCCTTGTTTGGTAAAAAATTGGCCAATATGTTAATTTTGACTTATTTGACCACTATTAATTGTTTGATTTAGTTAAAATATCAATACAAATGTTTGGTTAAATTAATTAGTTTTTTGTAACTCTAAAAGGCTAAAATTCAAAAAGCTACTCCAAGCAACCTTTTCAATTAGCTTTTTGAGAAAAGAAATTATACCAAACAGCTATCAGCTAACAGCTAATTTACCAAACACTTTTCTATAATCAGTTAATGTTATCATTATTTATACCGTCTAATTAACACAATCAGCTAACTGCTAACAGCTATCAGCTAACAGCCATTTTACCAAACAGGCCATAATGTTTTCCTTTGATAACCAGATTAAGAAATCTAAAACCGCGTACTTTTACACGTTGCTCATAGCCGCCTATAAATCTACCTCAATTTCTCCTTCAAAGCCGCCCTGTGACAACTGCACATCCTTCTTGTTTTCACTTCTCATCTCATCACTTCTAAATCCCAGTTTTCTCTTCATCTTTAATTTGCGGCCTCTGATCTACCAAATTAAAGGGGTTACTTTAATTTACTTCCTTTTCTTTTCGTTTCTTCATTGAGTTGATCATAAAAATGGGCAGCACAGCCACTTGTGTAGACATTCTCCTGGCTATCTTGTTGCCTCCCCTAGGTGTCTTCCTCAAGTTTGGCTGCAAGGTACTATTCTTATCTTAATTGCTATTTCCATCTCTTTTTTTTTTTTTTTTTACCCAAAAGGTTGAATCATCAATCTCGGTCCTCAGTAGCTTAGCAGACAGGGCAAATGTCAGTACAAAGAAGCTAAGAGATTTGTCTACTTTAATTTGAGCATAATCTTTACATTGTTGTTGTTGAGTTTTGATCCTTGATCTCTTGCTTCAAATACTACCTGATGAACCAGTGAACTAGGGTTCGATCTCCTTTTTCTGTCATCATAGTTTTATATACCAAAATGACAGATTGCCTAAGTTCCCCAATTCAACCCAGCAGGAAATATATATGCAGGCATGCAAGCATGATGAGGATATCGGTTAAGAAAATAAAGACCTTACTAATAAGTTGAAAAGAATAAAAAATATAATTTATTTTTTAGTTTTTGTGTTTTTGATTGATACGATGATTATGTTGTTCTAAGGTTCTGCTGAAATTTTATCATAGTTTTACAGTCAAACTTAGAGGTTGAACTTGCGAATTTTTATTTTTATTTTTATTTTTTGATAAATCCAGATTGAGTTTTGGATTTGCTGTTTGCTGACTCTGTTTGGGTACATCCCTGGAATTATCTATGCTATTTGGATCATCACCAAGTGATAAATTAAACTTTCTAAGCTATCAGGTAATTGGTTGCGTGCTGAAATTCTCCTTCTTCACTATATCTTTAATTATCAACCACATTTATTTATTTACTTATTTATTTATTTATTTATTTATTTATTGTAGACATAATAATTCTTGATCAACAAAACAGTTTAAATTGTATAAAATACAAGGGAATTTAGGTGTTTAATTATGATTTTTTTTTAAATAAAAATATAATAAGTCAACTCACTTTATATAAAAAAAATAAAAAAATCCAGATGTCCTTATATTTAAGGTCATTTCAACGATTTATTGACGGAAGATCAAAAAAGGTCAGGTCAAATAATACTAAATCAAAGGCGATGTTATGAAAAAAGTACTAAAAGTGGACGACTAACTATAAATTTAGGACTAAAAATGAAATTAACCCATAGCGTCTTTACTGAGGCTCGAACTCATAACTTCTTATGTGGGAGTTTTATTTGGTAGGTCCTTGTTGATTAATAATAATATATATAATCATAGTGTATTTTAATAGTATAAAGAAGTTGCATTATTGGTACTAACAAATTAACTTAATCAATACTGAAAAAGATTAGGCAATTATTGACTGAAGATATTTTTAAAAATTTTATTAATAATAACGAGGGTATCTGATTCTTAATTTCTTTTCTTGTTTTAACAGGTAGAGATCGATGTGAAGGTGGCCATGCATTTTATTAATCATTAAATTTGTGTCAATAATTATTGGAGTGTTATATATACTAATTATGTCATTGTCGCCATTATTTGTTTTGTGAACACTGTTAATGACTCGATGTGGTCACGCCTACGTCGGATTTTATTTTACTTGTTTGGTTTTCACCATTTTTAGTTTATTCTCCTGTTCTAGAAGTGCTGTTACGTTGCCAAATGCCAAAGTTGAAGAGTAGTTGATTATGATAATTGTGAGGGTCATTTTCCTACGTAGTGTCTACTTCATTTGTAACGTGCTGTGACACGGCTTTATATTTTTATGATAAATACTAGTATATGTTTTATGTTTATGGTGTTTTTATTATACAATTAAATTTTAATTTCTTGAATCAGTTAATAAAATAATTATATACTCCTTGTACATTAAGTTTGACTAAATAAAATTATTTTTAAAAATATTCTAAATTGACAAGAAAATTTATAATTGCTCGAGTGAAATATTATATTTCACGTGAGAAATCCTTTATATAATAAAGCTATATGGTTTGGAAAATAATTAATGTTACAATTAATGCCACAACATCCTTTATTATACAAAAAAAAAAAAAAAAAAAAAAAAAAAAAAGAAGCACAACATTTAAAAAATAAAAATAGCTATATATTATATAATCATATAAAAAATATACTTTTGAAAAATAAAATAGCTATATATTATATAATCATATAAAAATGTGTTCAATTAGAGTTTAAATTTACACATACAAAATTTGAAATTTGCTTTCCAAATGTAATTATCTTAGTTATTATTTGTATTGTGAAAATTATAATATTGATGAAATACAATTAAGAATAAATCAATGTAATTATGTAAATTATCTCTATAAGTTTATTTGAATATGCACATAATTAGAGATTATATTAATCATACAAAATTATAATTTTAATTTTAATTTTAATTGTAATTGTAATTTTGTATTCTATAAAAATAATAAATACTTGACCAATGGAAGCTCAAAAATATTATTATATTAAATAATTTAAAATATTTTAGTTTTTCTATTTTTTATTTATATTTATAATAACATAATTTTTTTCCGTGCATCGCGCGAGTGAATTACTAGTTAAACTTAATGGCACGACTATATATATTAATATATAATATATTGATACTCCATAATATGATTGACTACTACTTACTACATAAGAAAGACAGTGTGGGAGCAACCTCTCAAAGTGAGGGGTTCCTTGTGCGCAGTAAGTTAGCTTCTGTATGTAATTTATATTTAGTTAAGTTATTATGATTTACATCCTCTCAGTCTCTCAGATGTTCTGTCAAGTCGGGGTATGGGGGCCTTTAGGGTTGGGGTTCAACCTTTTGGATGAAGAATGACTGGTAAGATATATATATATATATATATATATATATATATATATATATATATATATATATATATACTAGTTTTACACGCGCATTGCGCGAATAAGTTAATGCCCAATGTTTATAATTAAACAAAATTTGAAAGTATATCAATGCAAGATTATATATGAGAAGTTCATACATAAATAATTTAATTTCGAATTTGTTTATTTAAATATGTAACTCATAGTATATGAATACAATGTAATATAGGACAGAGTGAATTCCATTTTTGGTCCTACTGTTATATGGGTGTTTCCAATTTTAGTCCACCTTAATTTTTTTTTGCCACTTTATGACCACTATTATTGAATGTGTTCCACTTTTAGTCCACTGTTAATATCTCCATCAAGAGACCGTATAATCTAGGGGTATTTTGATCTTTCTTCTCATCCAAGACTATGTTTGACTAAAAGAAATGAGAACATTAAACCTAAAACCTAAGAAACCTTGTCGGCCCATGTTGGAACGAACGAAACGATGTAGCTTTGGCTTCCCATTCTCGTTGTTCGAAGAGCCATCTTCGAATATCGGAGGAGGAGGAGGACGAAGCGCCTGGATTAAAAGAGAAGAGACAACCATAAAAAGACCAAAAAACCCTTGGATTATACGGCCTCTTGACAGAAATATTAACGGTGGACTAAAAGTGGAACACATTCAATAACAGTGGTTGTAAAGTGGCAAAAAAAATTAAGGTGAACTAAAATTGGAAACGCCCCTATAACAGTAGGACCAAAAATGAAATTCACCCTATAGGACATTTATTATAATTGTTACTAAAAAAATTTTAAATAGTAACCAAGTATTTTTGTAGCAAAGGGTTCTAATATATTTAATGAATGCACATATATACAATATCAATGAATGAATCAACGGTATCCGTCCTTTAGGTGTTTTGCTTAGTGTTCATTTAGTCCAACCATTATTGTTGAATGAATTATTATGGATAAAGAAATTCCTATTTTATGGAATTTAGATGAAGTAGTAAAAATTTAAAATTTTTAATTATAATGTAACCCAAAGATATTAGACGGTTGGTAAATATGATGTAACCCAAAGATTTATAAAATACTAAAGAAAGTGTTTGGTTATTCAACAGTTTGAAACAACAATTTGTTTCAAACCACTGAAAATACAAACATTGCAATTTACAATATTTTCACTTAGCGTTCATTAGAATGATTTCCTCAAAACACCTATAATTTTTTTTAAAAAAAAAGTTTACTCTAGAGCCATTTCGATTCCTTAAATAACAAGAGGCCCGCAGTTTCACTAGCTCACTGCTTGCCCATCAAACAAGGACATTGCGAGGTAGTTTCCCACTTTAATTTGTTGTGTGATTTGAATACTTTCTTTGTCAATAAATCCCTCAAGTAGTTAATATGATTGACTTTATTAATTATATTTTTTTAAAAAAAAATCATGGTATTAATAAAATACTTGGTAAATAAATATATAGCATTATTTTGTATTATAACTTTGATATTTAATTAAAAAATAGTGCACAAAAAAAGATATTAGATAATGTAGTGAATATAATCAATTGATGAATTTGAATGTAAAGAATTTTTACATTGGCGAAAAATAAAGACAATATAACTAATGAAATTATTTCTCTTATTTAATTTATTGATAATGAATAATTTCTTTTTGAATAAAGACATTGTAGAGACAATGTAGCGAATATAATCTTTGAATGTAAAGAATTTTTATATTAGAGAAAAATAAAGGCAATACAACTAATGCAATTACTTCTCTTATTTAATTTATTGATAATGAATAATTTTTTTTTGAATAAAGACATTGTAGAGATATAATTCTAAATTAAAGAAATACATATGTATTATTTTTTGTTGTAGCTGCTAAATTATTATTTAATTTAATAAGAGTAAAATAGAGTACTAATTATGCCAACTTTGATTGGGATGGAGTTCGAACCTAAGACCTTTCTTATTGAAATTAATGAGTAAGTTAACGGTGAACTAACATAAATTAACGGAAAAGTTAATATTTAACGGGAAAGTTAACGGATAATCACATAATTAAGGATAAATTAAGAAATCTCAAGAAAAAATTAAAAAATCTGATCAATCTGAGTCATTCATTTGATTGTAAAATTTGATCGTCATTTTTTCTACACATTATAGGCCTAACTCTCTTGGGCTCTCATTAGTGTGTGTGTATATATATATATATATATATATATATATATATATATATATATATATATATCAGAAATAGGTTCATGTGCAGTTGTCATTCCTAGGTGCGGTTAAATATGAGCCTTTGATCTTGCATAAATCAACGTCTAGGATTAACAGTGATTAAAAAGTGTGCCACAAATAGGTTTATGTGTGGTTGTCATTCCCAGGTGCGATTGTGCGGTTAAATATGAGCCAATGATCTTGCATAAATCAACGTCCAGGACTAACAGTGATTAAAAAACGTGTCATAAATAGGTTTATGTGCGGTTGTCATTCCCAGGTGCGATTGTGTGGTTAAATATGAACCATTGATCTTGTATAAATCAACATCCAGGATTAACATTTATTAAAAAACGTGCGGTGGGAATTTGATCTTTTTGCATCTAGGTCAAATTTAAGGTGCGTGATTTTCCTTCTTAAGGTACGTGCTTTTTTATGCTTAAGGTGGCTAGTTTTTGTACTATGTGGCTTAAGGTGCGTCAGGTGTTGAAAACTTAAGTGTGTCGATCTAAAGGTTTAGGTTTGTGGTTTATCTTCTTAAGGTGCCTGGTTTATGTGCTTAAGGTGCGTCAGTTGTTGAAACTTAAGGTGCGTCGGCCTAGAGCTTTAGGTGCATGATTTTCCTTCTTACGGTGTGTTATTTTCCTTCTTAAGGTGCGTGATTTGTATGCTTAAGGTGCGTCAGTTGTTGAAACTTAAGGTGCGCCATTTTAAAATTTTAGGTGCGTGGTTTGTGTTATTACGGTGCTTTGTTTGTGTGCTTAAGGTGTGTGGTTTGTGTACTTAAGGTGTGACAAGATGTCGTTTTTAACTCGCTTAGAGTAGGTGGATTGTGGTGAGATAGGAAAGGAATAAAAATTCTTCCCGAATGTCGTTCTCTAAGGATGGCAACTTGGAAGTGTTGATATTTGTTGAGTTAGAGAATGTATCTAAGCTTGTCACATACAAGATTCAAAGGTAAAAGACGGGAATAAAATTGTTCATCCATTGCATTATGCTTCTAGTGTCTAACGTAGGATTTGTATATTGCAATTGAAGGATTCCAAGCGAGGTTTATATTAGTGTCGTTGTCATTCCGGTCTTAACAGCCTATCATAGGTCTAGGAAGCACCCGAGTGACAACATATTCTTATGAGACAATTTATCAAACACATTATCTTTACCTCATTCCGGACTTTGTCCTCACGGAACTAAGGCGGGAAAAACAAGTGGAAAGAAGGCCAAATCAAAATTCAATTCCACACTAGCATCATTCAATGAATTCACAATTCAATCCCTAAGAAAAACCTAGCCACTCATTATAGCCAATCGAATCAACATTGAATTAAAGCAAAGCTTGAAATTGAGATTAGAAAAAGGAAAAGATTACCAAACTTTAACTCAAAAGAAGATTCAATCTACATATGCTTTAAGATCAAGGAATGTTGTCAAGTTTCCTTCAACCTAGAATTGTCTTTAATACAAGTGTTCTTGAGAGGCTAGAGAGATGTAAAATGAAATGTAAACACTACAAAATGATCCAATCTCCTAAACATTCTAATTCTAGCCTTTTTATAGCAAAATCTCCCGGGCTTTTCCCAAAATCGCGCTCAGTGCACCCGCCCTGACCATGTCACGATCGTGACTGGGTCATTAAAGTGCCCAGTGCCCCAATCACGATCGTGGGGATCCAAAATTAGATTGAAGAGGTATAATTTTATGGGAAAATGACCGTTCAACTAGTGACCGA